TTTTCCCAACGCCGCTTCCGGACACTTGGAAACCGGCCTCTCTTCCCGGCCTTGCTTCTCGCCTCGCTGCGGCCCTCTCTGCTTTTCCTGGATTAACGGAGCGCAGGTTCCTCGGTGCCTTCCCTGCGCTTGGGTTGTGCCGGATTTCCTCAGGCCACGTGAAATGCAGCTGCTTTTTGGGGCTCTTTGGGGCTCTTTTGGGCTCTCCTGCAGCGCTGCCTTCCCCCAGCGTCGTGCTGGGATCAGGGATCTCCCTTCCCCACTTTCCTCCTGGGTACGGTTCTGTTTGGTGATTGTTTTTTTTTTTAAAACTGTATAAATTTGTTTTAAGAGCAGAAAAAATAATAAACACAAGATGTGTTATTAAAGCAGCCTCCTTCCCTCTTAACCTCCCTGGAGCCTGTTCAGGGCCACTTCCTCCTCCCAGGGGAGGGGACGGGGTGCCCTTTAACACCCCTGTGTAAAATAAGCACTTTGTAGTTAAACTATAACTTGAAATATAAATATTGACTAAATAATAATGGGTTTTTACCTCAGTGATTGGGGTCAGGGCTTCACGGTCACCTCCCTCTTTCTAGGCATAGCACAGGGTGTCTTATAACCCACCCTGGGCCGAATAAGTACTTTAATTATAAGAATATAAACTAGAATATAAATATTTATAAATAAAGTGTGGGTTTTGTGATTGGGGTCAGGGCTTCACGGTCACCTCCCTCTTTCTAGGCATAGCACAGGGTGTCTTATAACCCACCCTGGGCCGAATAAGTACTTTAATTATAAGAATATAAACTAGAATATAAATATTTATAAATAAAGTGTGGGTTTTTACCTCAGTGATTGGGGTCAGGGCTTCACGGTCACCTCCCTCTTTCTAGGCATAGCACAGGGTGTCTTATAACCCACCCTGGGCCGAATAAGTACTTTAATTATAAGAATATAAACTAGAATATAAATATTTATAAATAAAGTGTGGGTTTTACCTCAGGTCTTGACCAAAACCACTCTGAGGTGCTGCCTGGAGCCTCCTCAGCAGCTGCTGCCTCTGGTGCTTCCCCCTCTCCTCTTGCTGCTGTCCCCAGCCCTGTCCCCACAGAGTGGGGGTGTCCCCCCCCGTGTCCCCCTCCC